AGGGAGGGAGGGAGGGAGGGAGGGAGGGAGGAAGGAAGGAAGGAAGGAAGGAAGGAAGGAAGGAAGGAAGGAAAAAAAAAACTATAACTCATAGAAACAGTAAAAAATGTTTACTGTTGCCAGGGGCTGGGTGGTGGAGACAATAGGTTGGTAAAAGAGTACAAACTTTCAGCTATAAGGTGAATAAATTCTGAGGATCTAAGATATATAACATGGTGCCTACAGTTGAGAACACTGTATTGTATAATTGGAATTTGCTAAGAGAGTAGAACTGGAACTGTTCTCATTAAAAGCAATGTAAATATGAGAGGCGCCTGGGTGGCTCAGTCGGTTAAGCATCTGACTTCAGCTCAGGTCATGATCTCGTGGTTCATGAGTTCGATCCCTGCTTAGGGCTCTATGCTGACAGCTCAGAGCCTGGAGCCTGCTTTGGATTCTGTCTCCCTCTCTCATTGCCCCTCCCCCACTTGTGCCCTCCCCCCCTCAAAAATAAATAAATATAAAAAAATGAACAATGTAAATATGAGAGATGATGTATGTGTTAATTCAGTAGAGGGAAACTTTTCACAAGATATACATATAGCAAATCATTACATAAAATCATAAAAATAAAATATAAATAATATATACTTATATAAAATATGTTTATAAAAAATTAAAATCCTATTCTCTTTTAAAAGGTATGCAAAAAATTCTGAGGAAGATTGACGGTGATTGTCACATTTGGAGCTGATTTATCAGACCTTTGAACTATGAATTACACAATTTCTTAGCCAACCAGCACCTATCACAATGCCTGACACATAGTAGGTACTAATTCAATGTTTTCTGAAAGAAACTATGAATAAAACAAATGAATGCATTAAAATTGGACTTAACTATGATGTTTTGTTCTCTCAAGAGTAAACAATGAATGCTTAGAGTTGTACTTTTCCCATTTGTTTCTCTTACTATTTTCATTTTCTGCATTAAGCCAGCTTTTAAGTTGCTTAGTGTCATTTTACTGATGCAAGAAGAATTTGAATACCATCTGTCTTCAAAGGACTTCTTTATTTCAAAATTCAAAGCACTATAAACAAGAGATTTGGCAGAAACCTGTCATCTGGCCCAGCCTTCCTCCTTCAAGCAGATGAATAATTTAATTATCCACTAGGGAGACCTTTGCCCCTTTCATGACTTTCTCACTTGACTGGTCAAGAAATCATTCCTTGTGGTAACTATGCCCCCCCATCTCTACTTTAATTAAATCCTTTTCTGCTGGCTTGGACATCCATAGATAGAAAGAATGACTAACCATCATGACCCCCGTGAAAACATTTATATGCTTATAAAATTAAATTTTTTTCTTTAGCTAAATTTCCCAAATCGATTTACTTTTACCTCTGGGGCCTATTTATATAGAACCTACGGGAGAGTGTATAATCACATTTGTTATTTAAAGTAAATAAACTGAACCTCACATTAAAAGCTTTAACCCAGCCGTTGCAATCACAAAAGGGCAAAGAGTGGCTTTAACAAACATTACCTCGGGCACAGAATGTGATAGAGTGTATTACTAGTTCACAACTTTTTGTTCCCTTCCATCCTGGCAACATTTCCTGTAGACATAGTGTATTTCTCTACAGCGGTGACTCTGCACTTGACCACGCGACTTCCTTTGGCCAAGGGAGCAGAAGCTTTAAGGTACTTGCATAGTTTACCTCTGTTCCCCCATCCCTTGAGCTCTGGTGCCCAGCCAGGAGAGGCGTATATCCCAGGGAGTGGCTGCTTCACTGACTTTGTCCAAGAATCCAAAAACCCGTCTAGCTAGTAGAGCTCAAATGAGTTCTGTAAACCCAGCCACGCCCGGCAGAGCTGTAGCAAGCCCAGGAATAAAAAATAATTGTTGCTGTCAGCCATTGAAATTTGGGGAGTTCACTGTTACTGCAGTTAAGTGCTGACTAATACACCAATGATGAGAATTGAAGAGAAATGCTTTCTACTTCAGCAACGAGGAAATAATGGGTTTACATACAAGACTCGGTATGTGTTTTGTTTTGCTTTGTTTTGGTTTGTTTACTTTTCTAAAAGGCACGCTGTTAAAAGCGTAATGGCCAATAAAGCATAGCCCTTATTACTAATTAACTATTCATCCTCTCATCACACAAAGCTTTATTATGTGCCTTCCGTTTGTCAGACATTACGCAAAATTGTATACATTTTTGCCAGTTGGCTCAAATTCCCCATGGAGGCAAGTCTTTCCAGCCAACAACGTTCGTAGGTAAAAAAAAACAAAACTTTAGCTCACAGTTTCATTTGCGAGCTGTGTATGAACCTTAGCCCAATGAAGCATTTCTCCAAAGATCTTACCACATTTTAGAGAAATTATCTCATTTACCATTATAGTATTCCTGCAAGTCAATGAGAAATATAAAATAAAAACATTAAGGGAAATTCAAGATTCAGAAGCTATTCTAGAAACGATTCCTTTCATTCATCCATTCAGTATACAGTTATTGGTAGCCAGGTATTAGGCACAAGAGGATGCAATGGGGAATAAGGCATAATCTCTACTTATAATAACATCTAGTGGGACAGATAAGCAAGCAATGAATTATAATGCAACGTGATAAATGCTCTAAACTAAAGCTCTGCCCAGACATCATGGAAGAACAGAGGAGGAACTTCTAATTCAGCTAGGAAGTCAGGAAATGCTACCAGAGGAAGGGGTCGCTACACTTTCTACCAGGAGTAGGAACTAGCCGGCAACCCCCTCCCAAGAATACAAGACCCGCTAACATGGAGAATTTAGGTTGATTACCCTTCCCCTCCCCCCTCGTCCCCCCCCCCCCCCCCCCCCGTTTTAGAGATTACTCTGCTCTTATACACATGCTGAAAGTGTATTTACATCACTTGGATGCCCCCTCCCAACATGGCACCACAACAAACTTCAAACAATAATGAAACATTTCTTAATGGATGACACATCTTATCAAACAGGTCCCCCAAAGCCCCCAATTTACCAAAAACTTTTGCAGATGCATCAACTCATAATTAAGTTTGACCCAAAACCTTTTAGAAATTGCAAAGGGAAAAGAAAAGCAGGAGAAGCAGGATCATCTTTGTTTTGGTCTCTGTGGGACTGAGCACCCTAGGATGATGGGGAAGGTAGGCTCCTGCGGTAGGCAAACCATGGCCCTCAAAGGTGTCCTCATGCTCATACGCAGAACCTACGAATATGTCCCCTTACATGGCAAAAGAGGCTTTGCGGATGTGATTAAGTTAAGGATCTTGAGGTAGAGATTATCCTAGATTATCCCAGTGGGCCAGTGTAATCACAAGGGCCCTTCATAAGAGGGAGGCAAGAGGGTAGAGTCAGAAAAGAAGATGGGACAATGGAAACAGAGGCCAGGGAGATCTGAAGACGCTACCCTGCTGGCCTGGATGATGAATGAGGGGCCACAAGGCAAAGAATGCAGGCAGTCTCTAGAAGCTGGAGAATGCAAGGAAACAGATTCTCTCCTAGAACCTCCAGAGGGGACACAGTCTTGGCAGCATCTTGATTTTAGGACTTTTGAGCTACAGAACTGTAAGATATTAAATTTGTGTTGTTAAAAACGCAACGGTAAGTGTTGTCCCAGCAGCAATAGGAAACGAATACCCCGTCTATGTGCGAATTCTGTTTGGTCTTTAGGATCTCAGTGAGTTCCAGGACCTCGAAAAGAAGCACTTGGAAATCAAGATGGCTATGATTCTTCATCATTGTGGCCGCCAAGCGAGACATCTCAAAGCAAAGTGGTCGAAAGTCCAATATGTCTTCACGGTCACGCCTAATAAAAGGACTTATTTTACCTGCGACCCTCAGATGATGGCCTCCCTTCTCCAGCTAATTTTTCACATGTAAATACAAAAAGTATAGGTGGTTCAGAGTCACCATATTTCTCTCCAAATCTCCCTGAGTCTTCCTCTCCTCCTCTATAGAACTACGTGATGAGTAACGTCCACATCTCCACAGCCGGAACCCCAGAAATCAACCCAAATTCTTTCCTCTTTTCTGAACCATCCCTGTCCAGTTACTCAACCCTGTTGATTTTATCTCCAAAAGAACTCATGAATCTGTCTCCATACCCACCGGTATGACACCGGTGCTGCCTTAGCTTAGCAACTTACCAGGTCTTCCTTGTTGTTCTGTAACAACCCTCCACGAGGTCTTATCATCAGACAAGACATGGAAGGAGGTAGGGCTTCGCCTTCCCAAACAAGACTCAGAGACACTGCAGATAGGAAATCCTGAGACCCCACACTACATTACTTTAACAAATAAAAATTAATTCATATAAAACATTATACACTCTGTCTAGCATCCAGTAAGAACTTAGTAAAATATTTGCTTAACCATTGAACAACTGGAAAAATAAATACATAAAACTGACCTCCTTGACGTATTTAAATACGAATCAGTGAGGAGGTGACAAGGAAGATGATAGTTATTATTACCCTTTCCATGTGCCTCGAGACTGCTTTCTGAATGAATCATCTGCCAAACTTGATAAATATCAAGCTACAAAAATAAAACCTGGATTATATAAGACTCGCAAAGTATCAAAAAATACTTCAGGGCATCAGTGGCGAGCTGAGGCGGAAGCAGGCTGTGGTGGCAAGGACAACAGTGGTGGTGTGGCACCACGGCAGGGCTCACGGGACGCCTGATGCCTTGGTGATCCCAGACTGGCAGCCAGAGAGCACAGTGGCATGGCCCCGGAAGAGGGAGGGTTGAGGAAAGTGGAAGGTAGCAGCCCACGCCTGCTGGCTCCCGTTAGATCGGTTCCTGCACTGGTGCCCGGCAGCCTTAGCAAAGGCCCTGCCTGACGGACTTTAAAAATAATAATAAGGGGCGCCTGGGTGGCCCAGACAGTTAAGCATCTAACCCTCAGCTTCAGCTCAGGTCATGATCTCACAGTTCGTGGGTTCGAGCCCTGCATGGGGTTCGGCACTGCCAGTGTGGAGCCTGCTTGGGATTCTCTCTTTCTCTCTCTCTGCCCTCCCCCCCACACACACACACATACACACACACATACACTCTCCCTCCCTCCCAAAATAAATACACTTTTTAAAAAACTAAAAATAATAATAATAATACTTTGCTTAACATACATGAGGAAAAAAAGTCTACAGTTTGTTAAAAGTGTAATTTGCCTTTACCACCTGCTATGAACTGAGTTACATAGGTGCAAAATTCACATGTTGAGGCTCTAACCCCTGAGGGATGATATTCGGAAATGGTCTTTGGAGGACAATTGGGTTTAGATGAGGTCACCCTCCTGATGGAATTAGTGCCCCAAGAAGAAGAGACACCACGGAGCTTGTGTTGACGCACAGCCTTGGGTGTTTCCAGGATGAAGTCTGGAACTGGTCCTCGTAGGTGGAAGGTCAGGAGAGATCAAAGAGAAAGGCAGACCCTCCAGATTGGCCATAACAATGGACATGACACACGAGACTTACCTTGCAGCTGCAAGATGAGTAGGTCTTTACACCCTCCTGCCAGGTGTATAGAGAAGCCTCAGCGAGGTTCAGCCACGTACACAGTCCAGAATGACACCCTCCTGTGTCAAGACCACATCTTGCAGTTGACCTGCCCTAGTACAAGAAAGGTGTGGGAAACATACAAACAGAGAACAGGGCAGGACGTAAGGAGCTCTCTTGTCGCCGGGTCCAGCTCATGGGTCCATAAGCAGTCACGTCCTCTCAATGGCCTCCTCCAACTACTTTCTCTCTCTCTCTCTCTCTCTCTCTCTCTCTCTCTCTCTCTCTCCAGCCCCCCTCCCATACATGAGCACACAGCAAGAGGGCAGCCATGTACAACCCAGGAAGACAGCCCTCACCGGAACCCAACCATGCAGGCACCCTGATGTCAGACTCCCCACCTCCAGAACTGTGAGAAACAAATTTCCACCGTTGAACTCACCCAGTCCATGGCACAGCATCATGGCAGCCGAGCTAACTAATCTACTACCTCAACTTGGCTTACAGTCAACCAAGAACTAGCACGAGGAAAATGTACTTGCCCGATGACAGTAGCAACAGAAATAAAGATACGTTTTTTTCTATCCCTGGTAGTAAGTTCTTACGCTTTTCACACCAAAGCTCTGACTCATTAATTCGCATCAATTCTGAACTTCGAAAGAAAGTAGATTTCCAACCTGCCTGGCAAGAATTGCAATTATGTTCGGTGACAAATTAAAGGATCATCTTCTTCTCAATACACACAAAAGCAAATAAAAATTTAATCATTTTAGAAAGTAATGTGAAATTATATGGGTTAGAAGCTGTCAAAATAGGGTTGTTTTAGGTGTTTAAAAAAAAAAACAACTAGGGTTAGATTGGGTTGATTAAAAATCTGTGTGGACCTAACAGAAGGGTGGGCAAGGGAGGGGATGGAATATACGTGACAACCAAAGCTATTTTAGAGGGGGAAAGATATTAACTCTAAAACTTATCCAAAATGAAGATAATGTTTTAGAGAGCTACGCCAGTACATTCAGTGAAAACAGACTCATAGTGGGGCGCCTGGGTGGCTCAGTCGGCTAGGCATCCGACTTTGGCTCAGGTCATGATCTCGCAGTTCATGAGTTCCGGTCCCTCATTGGGTTCTGTGCTGACAGCTCAGAGCCTGCAGCCTGCTTCAGATTCTGTGTCTCCGTTTCTCTCTCTCTGCCCTAACCCCACTAGTGTTCTATCTCTCAAAAATGAATAAAAATGTTAAAAAAAAAAAAAAACAGACTCATAGGAATGATCCTTTCATACAAAAACCCAGGAAAAGTTGAACAACTCAGCTCCAAAAAAAGACGGAATCTTTGTGAAGCCACAAGAAAAAAAAAAAAAATCAGATCCAATAATAGAATCAGTTCAAGAATCTTTACTTTACTCACCTGTGGTCTGATCGTTGACGCCTCCCCCCAAATTCATATATTCATTGAATATTTGAAATCCTACTGCCCCGAGGTGATGGCATTAGGAGGCCAGGCCTTTGGGAGCCCTCATGAATGGGCTCAGTGCCCTTGTAAGAGACACCTCAGGGTGCTCCCCTGTACAGGGCCCTCCCTAGACACCGACTCTGCCAGTGCCTTCATTTTCGACTTCCCATCCTCCAGAATTGTGAGAAATAACGTCTGTTGTGTGTAAGCTTCCGGGTCCCTGGTTTTCCCGTTACAGCAGCCTGAGTGTGCCAACATCTGTTGTTAGGAAAATTCAGCTGATCTCCACTCGTCCGCTTCTCTCTGTCACTACCAACTTGCTTCTTCTCACCCCCATTTGCCTATCTTACGTGCTTCTCCATAGACAGGGTTCCCTGCTCACAGATATTGCTTACTCATAATTTCCTCCTTATAAATTTGGCTGGCCATGACCACACGTGGCCCTGAGTGCTTCTCTCAGCCCCTTTCCATCTTCACCTCCCATAAATAACAGCCTTATTATTTTTCCCTATTTCCAGTTCAGAAAAGCATGCTAATCAGCCCAACTTGTCTGTTCACATCTCTGGGTCACCTCTTCATTGTCCTGAAGTCAGGTCTATGCGGCTCTGGGGGAAGTGGGGAGGAGACACAGAATCACAGGAACAAGGAATAACCCTTCCACAGAGGCTGTGGCCAGGCAGGTACTTGATGGCCTGACCTATGGAGAATATTAAGGGAAGCTCAAAAACAAAAAGGAGGGAAGGGCTACGCTCACTTTTTATTTATTTTTTTTTTTAATTTTTTTTTTTCAACATTTATTTATTTTTGGGACAGAGAGAGACAGAGCATGAACGGGGGAGGGGCAGAGAGAGAGGGAGACACAGAATCGGAAACAGGCTCCAGGCTCCGAGCCATCAGCCCAGAGCCCGACGCGGGGCTCGAACTCCCGAGACCGGGAGATCGTGACCTGGCTGAAGTCGGCCGCTTAACCGACTGCGCCACCCAGGCGCCCCTACGCTCACTTTTTAAATCCAGATGTCGTTATAGACCAAAATCTGACCACAGAGAAGGTGTGGCTATGGGTTTTTTTTTCCCCTTTTAAATTAAATTTAAAATAAATTAAAACAGAAGTATACTTTATTCTTGTCTTTAAGATATGCTGTTCCCATTTCTAAGAAGCAAAAGTAAGTAAGAATAAAGAAGCCGCAATGGCCTCAAAGAAAGCTCTCAGCTCTTAGCAATTGGAAAACCGCAAGTTCCAAGCAACCATGCAAAGGTCTGTATGTGTGCTCTCCAACAGAAATTTAGTGAGAATCACAAACGTGAGCCACATGCATAATTTCACATTTTCTCGTAGCTACATTTTATAATAAGGAACTTAGCCTAATTTATCCAAAATATTATTCTATTTATAAGTATGCATAATTATATTTATATCATTATTGTAAAATAGAAATATAAGATATAGTTATAATATATAATTAGACATGTTTAGAATCAAATGTTAAAAATTAATTTAATTATTAAATTCTATAAAAATAATATTACAACTGTAAATATTTGTAATTATAATGATTATATTTCGGGTAAACGTAATACATGCTATAATAATAATAACATGATAAATATAAGATTATGATTATATTATTATCCTAAACAGCAGGTCTGCTCATCTCCAGTCAGAACCGGGTGCGGGCACCCGAAAAAGGCGGCGTCGCAGGTGCAGGTGAATGAGTCGCCATGGAGGAAGGGAAGAAGACGAAAGAAGGTGGGGAAGGAAGAAAGAAGGTGAAGAAAGAAAGGTGTGAGTGTGGAGAGTTGGAAGCGGGGAGTGCAGGGATCACTGGTCAAAAGGGGGTTTGAACAGCAACAGAAAAGGCAGAAGGGAGCCCCGGGGGGCAGGGACCTCTGAG